TGCAAACTTGGGCTACCGATATCACATGCTGAAAATTCCATACCAGTACCAAAAATACGGTGTATAATCAAGCTGTAATCAAAAATAAGAAAATAGATCAACGTGATCCAAACACCGACCAGTCGTTTTAGTCGTTTGGAGTTGAGCTCTTCTGTGATGTACCCTGGCTTGACTCAACTCAGAGAACTGAATCTATCAAAACTATCTGATGAGCTCGGCACTAAATGGCTGTCTGCTGTTTAGATTACTTCTATCTGGTTGACTGGAATGCACTACTGAATGATGAATTGGTAACCGACTACTTATATCAATCGATCAGTAGTAAGTATGTAACATCATACGTTTATGTTTACTTCAATAATGATCATTTAAGGATGACTGACTGACTGGTTTCAACATAGAACTTTGCACCGATATGCAGCAGTTCGAGTCACCACACTTCACTCCATGTAGCACACAAAGCAAGATAAGAAGAAAGTAAAAAGAAATGCAAAATAGAGACAGTGAACAGAAATATGGGGCAAAAAGAATAGTAATATCGAAGAACAATATATTTAATTCAATTTTAGATTTTCCCGTCGGTTGATTGGATCGAAGTGCTCCTCGGTCTCAGGTTGACATGTCGGCTTTTTGTCCAGATGCTTCGACAGTGTTTGGGCATGTAATTAGAAGCTAATTGGTGAATGGTGACTAGCAGTGGAATCCAGGATAACGCACATTTCTTCCTATTTGGGCGTTTGAAACTATGGGGCACTGGGTTCGAGCCTCGGTGGGAACATCATCACTGACTCACTGCGGAATGCAGGTACATTCAGATAGCTGACGAGTCCCAAATAGGACGAAATGCGCGTTATCCTGGTGGATTCCACTGCTAGTCACCATCCACCAATTAACTTCGAAGAACAATATATATGCATCTGCGCCAGCCATTGACATCGATTTTGAGCTATATCACCGATTGTCTCTAGCTATTGATGTTTACCGTCCGGAGGACCCCAACCAGGAAGCCAGTCTACATCTTCCTACGTGGCTTAAACTAGCTGTTGTGGATTTCATTGACTGATGAAGTCATGTTTTGGTTTGACCACCACCACTAGCTCTTTTCCAACCTGATCCATCCTATGTCAGCTAACATTACCTGCTGTCGAGGAAGGCGATGGCTAGGCATGCATAACATCTAAGGATGAATCTAACTTGTGATTTGGCACGTAAAAGACCCATTTTTATGTCTTACTTCATGTCGCTACGACAAAACTATACGTCTGTGTGCTACATAGAGTGTGGCAACTTGAACCGCTACACTTTTGTGTTAAGTTCTATGTTAAAAGTCAGTCAGTCAGTCAGTCAGTCAGTCAGTCAGTCAGTCAGTCAGTCAGTCAGTCAGTCAGTCAGTCAGTCAGTCAGATAGTCGGTATATACAGAAGTTCAAAAACCTGATTAGTATCTTCAGCTTTCATGAAAAAAAAACCTGTGGATTATCATTCAGTGTTGCGTCCTCCAACCATGGACTAATATAATTTGTGCTTTTCAAAAACAGAAAAAACTTTACATGCATACCAACTAAAATAACCAGTACACCCACATAGAAAAACCAAACAACAACAATATTTGACTTTAATACTGTCACATACTACAACACACAAACTAAATATAAAAATGAGAATATGTGGTGACATTTCCACACACACACACACACATACACACACCCAAAGAACACAAAATATACGCAAACATACATGCATATGAAAAAGAAAAGACTTACGTGAACTAACTATAAGTGTAAATAGTTTACAATAAATCTTCAACTAAAAGTCAATTGCTATCCTAATTACTGGATAACTTTCAATGAATTCAACCGGCGTTAACTTCTTAGTGGATTTAATTGGATCTGGATTGTTGTTAGTTTGATTTTAATAATAATAATAATAAGTGATGTTTACGGACTACTTCTTTTAACTTGTAAGTAGTACACACTACAAATGTCTCTTCAATGTTATTTGAAGACACTAAAATCTGGATGATTGATACCTTAACGTCACACAAACACGAGAACCTACAGAGGACAACCAATAAGTTGGCAAAAGAAGCAGGCAGAAAAGACGGGACTTCAGGTGAACATACAGAAGGAATAGGTGATGAAGATATGTAGCACACAAAGCAAGAGAAGAAAGTAGAAGAAATGCATAATATAGACAGTAAACAGATGTGTGAGACAAAGGTATAGTAATAACGAAGAACAAAACAGTTTGATTGGAAATCATAAGTCACAAAGAGTGGATGCATCTGCGCCACTGAGAACGATTTTGAGCCATGTCATCAATTGTTTCCAAACATTGGTTTTTACCGTCCTGAGGACCCCAACCAGTCAGGAAGTCTACACTTTCCTACGTGGCTTAGACTAACTGTTGTAGATTTCATTGACTGGTGACATATTTTCGTTTGACCGCCGCTAGCTCTTTTCCAGCCTGGCCCTATATCAGCTACCATTGCCCGTCGAGGAAGGCGATGACTAGGCATGCGTCAGATGTATACTGACCAATAACAAGAAGCACCAGTACTTTGATTGAACACTAGTAACTAGTGTGACGTATGTAGTCCTTCCATACAGGTCCTACAGGAGGTCAATCGCGAGCCAGCCCGAATAGCTCAGTGGTAAGGTCTGCTGACTGCAGCACTCACTGGGTGACGCAGGTTCGAATCTCAGAAGGGACATGAGTTCCTTCAAGGTTGCAGATACGCCTTGTTGACGAGTGCCAACTAGCAAGAAACATAGGTCCAAGGTTTCCTGTCGATTGCCTCCAACTATTTAATATCATCAAAGAAGCACCAATCTCCATCAACGGGATAAGTCTGAAGGAAGTCAACTCTTTCATTTATTTAGGCAGGACGGATGAAGATGCCAAAGCCAGTCACGATAAAGAAGACAGGACAGACATTCAGTAATCTGAAATCAGTGTGAAAATCTGCTGCACTTAGTTTCTGGAACAAGATCCAGATTTCTAACACTGATGTAAAGTCAGCTAACGCTTCTGTATGGTTTATACACATGGTGCTCGACTCACCGAAAACATTTCCGACAAGCTATTGTAGACTTTCATCAAGAGCTTTCTCTTTTATCTCAATACTAGAGATCAGATAACTGACCGGAAAGGATTAGCAACAAGGAACTCACTTAACGGACCAGCCAAGAACCTATCACCTAACAAATACACCGAAGGAAATACAGATGGACTGGACATACACATTGAAAAGGCCATTGAGTGACATCACGAGCTAGGCATCTGATTAGAACTCGAATGGGAAGCGACCAGTTGGAAGTGGTTTCGAGGGTAATATGAAAAAGACGGTGCGAAGAGGAAGTGACAGCTGCGTGGGTCTATTTTATGCCTGCTTCCTCGCTGCCCGCTGTCTGTCGCATTACCCAATCTACCGCAATCAGACTAGATAATGCAACAAACAGCGGGCAGCGTGGAAACAGGCATAAAGTGGACTTCGCTAATGATATATGTCTGATTTCTCACAAACTGGAAGATATGCAAGTGAAAAGCAACAAGTTGGCGATAGAAGAAGTATCCAAAGAAGATAGGACTTCCTTCAGGTGAACATTAGAGAAAACAGAGGTGATGAAGATTCCTGGCCAACAGCAGTAGCGACAGCAACAATCAGCATAAATGGGAGGAATCTGAAAGAAACAACCTCCTTTACCTAACTACCTACCTGGGAAGCATCGTTTCAACTACAGAGTGACAGAACTGACGAGGATATCGAAGCGAGGATCGGGGAAGCAAGGCAAGCTTTCATTACTCTTAAGTCTGTGTGTAGGTCAATAGCACTCAGCATGAAAATGAAAATAAGATCCGGATTTTCAACCCCAATGTGAAGTCAGTGCTACCATACGGGTCAGAGACTTGCACTGCGCGTCATAAAGAGCACCTCAAACAAACTACAGACCATTAACAGCTGTCTTCACTCAATACTCAAGATCAGATGGCCAGCCAGAAAAGATCAGCAACAGGGAGGGATCTCTGGGAGCGAACCAACCAGGAACCGATTGTGCAACAAATATGCAGGAAGAAATGGAGGTGGATTGGCCATACTCTAAGGAAACCATCAAGTAACATCACTAGACAGGCCATCGCTCAAGTGGAATCCGAACAGGAAGATCAATGCATGCTTACTGCACTAATCAGTGTTGGCCAGCACACATGAATTGATTGCTGGCAAAATCACAGCATCAATACAGACGTCTTATTTGGCATTTGCCAATTTGTGTCATCTCTACTGCAGATGAAATATCCAGCTATTCATCAGAGGATGTACCTCCCGCATAGCACTTATCCCCGTCCTTCGTTACGGTTGTAAGACACGACTGTTGAATTTTAAAGGTATGAATAAGTTAGCCATCTTGAACCATAGGTGTCTGCGTTCTCTTGTGTTAGGTGGGAGGATATAGCCAGTAATGAAGGGGCTAAGAGAGGGGTGTCAAATAAAGAGGACAAGAAGATTGAAAAAAAGATTGCTAAACTCCATCGATTGCGATGACTGAGAGGCATTACGCACGTTCAACCAAGACCACCTTCTTCGACAATCAATGTTAACTAAAATGTGATCAGGTTGGAAAAAGGACATCAGTGGTCAGATTAAAGCATAACATCAATCCAAGAAACCTTTGACTGCTGGTTTGAGCTACAAAGAGAGGTGTAAACCAACGTAACACTAAATGATAGTGTACTGAAGTCTTCTCAACTAAGTGGTTAAATCAAGCACTTGTGTCAATAGGCTGATATATACGCAACCCTGGTGACTAATTGAAGTATCTGTAAAGAAAAGCGAGTACGAAAAGTTCATGACTTGTTTTGTAGCACAAAGCCTTAGTCCGATTTTCAGGCTATTAACTATCAACTGATTAATCTATTTTTCTTCCAAAAAACCATTGGGTGAATTTATTCGTGCAATACATTAAAAAAAGTAAGAAAAAAGGAAACATGAGGCGAGCTTACTTTTATTTTTGACTTGAATTTATCACTGAGCAGAGCTGCCAGATTACTGAAAGTTTGAGATTGAAGCTTTTTTCGTTCAGCCTCAAGTGCAACTAATGCCATAGGTTTACTTGGTGAACCATTTTTTGAATGACATGAAATTGCATTTGTATGTGCACGTTTTTGCTACAGTAACATGACATAAAAACATGATACATATTTCCTTTAAATAGTCAAATAAATTGCCAATTAACAGGAATCATTAGTAAAAGTTTAAATAACACGTGTCGTGGAACATCCAAACACTATCACTGTATAAAATGCAACTGTAGTTACTTGCATTTTTAGCACATGTGAGCCAAACATATATATATTATGCATAACCTGACAATATCAGGTAAATCGAATTTCACTAAACTGAATGAACTTCAAAGCGGTACTTCGTAGATTAGATGTTAGACTACAGTCGTGACCTTCCAACATCATTCTAACAGTACGTTTACTTCTTCGTAATCTACTTTGAAAAGATAAACACTGTAGGTCCAGTTTCGTACAACCAATTAATTTTCTACAGTTTCCTTTAATAAGAATCCTTATTCTTAAAACGATACGACAAGTACACCAAAACCCTAGATTACAAAAGCAAACAAGAAAATTTTACAAAGCATACCTTATACATAGGATGTGAGCAAAGAAGCTTTGTAGCAAAGACCACTTGGTATTGACACGTCCGAATCTCAGATATATCTACAATCTGACCACCAATACTTTCATGACATATATACATAACCGTTGTTGAACGATGTTCCTGAATCAAATCACACAAGGTCCCATCAATATAATTGACTTCATAATAAGGGTAGGAGTTTTCGCCTAAAGTAACTGTTTTTGGTGTATCATACTACAGAAATAAAAAAATTGCACACGTACATCTTGTTTATGAGCACCCTTCTCTGTTTTCGGACCTAGCCAATTAACTATTTAAAGAAAAAAACATGTCGACATACTTGGATCATAATGTCCCAAATAGAACTCTTGAACTGGATAACTCTGTCGGTTATTATATTAAATTTTTTATATCAAACCTTTTTCGTTTTTCTTTCTTCATGAAACTGTCTTATATGTTGATTATGACAGAGTTCATAACTCCAGTATGATTCAGATCTGATACTACATGGTTGTTCCGTAAATAAAGGCTGCAAAATAGTTTCTTCATCCATTAAATCTGAGCCTTTTTGACCGTCTTCATTTGTTTTAAGCAGCAACGTAGGTATAACACATTCATAATCCTCCCCAACTGTTGTTCTAATTTCGACTGCATCATTTTCCTAACACAAGTATTATTGAGAAACACAAAGTACCTCTCGAGATTTAATGGGACTACCAGACCACCTCAGGTCAAATATAATATCGTCAGTTACATTATAAAATGCATTAACATAAGAAAAACATGAAAGAAAAAAGATGTATAAAAAGATGTTAAATTGGCGCATCGGTGGAAAGATTACAGGTCATCTATAATGACTATTAGAAACAAGCAGTCCCTTGAACATCACATAGATCCACATTGATTCTTAATTATGAATTCGAAAACTCTTCATGAATCATTTTACACTAATTGGAAGAGTTTTATATCACCAGAAGACCTATATTAAGTACCACGTGGAGTTGAATCAAAGTCTGACATTTGGAGCTGTCGTTTGTCCAGAATGTATCAAGAAACAGTGAACATACTGTTTACTGGATCATGGTTCCATCTATGAAACAAGAAACCAACAATAAAATGAATGATGTAGTAGTCCTTAGGTCCTGAACTTCACCTGACACCGTAGGACGTTATTAAGTATTCTCTTGTGTTGCTTGGACGACTTCAATAGAGACAGAAACTGATATAAGAATAGAACTTGGGCACTGTGACGTAACATAATTCTATTGTGGAGAAAGTTTTCTTTGATAAAATCTCACAATGTTGTACAGTAATATTTACTTATGGCGTTTCGAGCATAATTTGTTGCTCATAATCACATCAAGATACAGAAATTAAAATCTTCTCTAGAGTAAACCTACATCTGATATCTGACCTCGTCTGTTGCATCCTTATCTTTCAGATATTCCCAATAATACTTTCGCTAGAACACCATTAATGTGAGATGTGTATAGGGTAATTAGGAGCAGCGTAAATATTGCGGGTTTTGATAAGTAAACCCTTCAATCCCCTTTGTTAATATGGATATTAATTATGCAGGCTTCCTTGTGGCATGTACTAATGTCAATATTTTGAAAGTGCTGATATCTTCTACAGCGGAGTGATGAGAGAGAAGCGAGGACTACTTCCAAACATTGTGGAAAGCACTAAATGAAAGAAGAAAAATGCAAGTGGCCATTCCAAAGTGAAAATTAAACGCAAGATTTTGTATCCTTGCATCTGTACATCATTTTCATATTAGTGGCCTAATGAATAACTCTTCGGCGTCTGAGGAGATATGCGCTAGTTTCGAGTCTCAGTGGAGACACCATCACCAAATCGGGAGCAGATATATACGCATTTGTTTCATGAATCAGTAGTAGAATGCTCGCCAGCCAAGCACGAGAACTTAGTTTGATCCTCGCCCGACGCAATTCCAAGCTCTGCCTAGCTTACTAACCTGCAGTAATCCCGGAAAAGTGGGGTGGTTGAGACTGGGGCTAGCAACCCCCTCCCTACTGGGGCCCCAAGTTTCACTCGGATTGCAAGGAGTGGAAATACATACTAAAATATTGTTATTAGTTAGACGTTTAAATCCTTTCACCCGATACCTAAGTCTACCGCGAATGTCACTGTTTTCTGTCATCACATTCAGTGTCGCTTCATTTGGCCAGAGGGATATCCTGTTACCTACATCTTTCGAAGAGAGAGACATACGAGTATTTCGCGGTATTTTTAAGCCATTGCTGATTTGAAGTGTTTCCATGATCCAACAGTGATCACTGCGGTGCTATCTAGACTGCCTACGAAAGCGCGGATCATACAGGTTGGAACGGTAGGTGCCGCTATTTTACAGCCCGAAAGACATCAGGTAATACACTGGTTTTGTACTGTGAAGTCGTAACCGGACTTAGATCTATCTGCGTTAGCCCCGAAGCTGATAAGAGAACATAGTTGCGTGCTCCCCACGCTAGACAAAGAGTTTAAGAGTCATTTATTACCGTCAAGGTTTATTAGTAGTCCTGATACATCCTTGATCAAGAGCAACCCTAACATCCCTCGGCCACGAAACTACAGCAGATCAACACGAACAATCCACATACACTGGTGATTTGATGAAGATAACCAGACAGCTACTGAGTACAGCTGTAGTCACAAAAAGTCGCCAAAGTGAGCCAATGGGAACGACAGATTTCGAGCATGTCAAGTGGCATTATTCGCGTCGCATGTCGCAAAATAACTTTTCCATCCCCTATTTGCCTCAGTCAGGATGAACAACCCTTGGGGTGGACTTTTGTCGAGTAGCACGCACGGGATCAACGTAGGGTAATGAACCGTGAGTACAAAGTACGGGTAGATCACTATATATGATTATAGTAAAATAACAAGAATGGAGGCATTGAAAGCACCGAAAATATCGATGTTGGTTGGAAAATACGGACGTTTATGCACTGAAGATGGGTACTCGTAAGATTTCTGTAATAACTTAAGGTGTTAAATCCCAGTGACAGCTCTAAGAGACAGATAGTTTATGAGAAAAGTCCATGAGATGCCACATGATGGCGTTACTGAAGAATCTGATAGCACATACTACTGTTCGTTGCTTTTAGTAGAGAAGTACATTGGATAGCACAGATTCTAAGTATATTCACAACAGCCAGTCAGTATGACAGAATTAATAGCTTATGGCAAGCCACCTGCGACAAAATCTATTGATCACCCTGCTGAATGAATTACCCAGTTTCGGAATAGAACCTTGGATGGAAGTGCAGTAGCCAAAGTCGCCACACCCCATAGACTGGTGCCAAATAACATTAGAACTGCGTGCAGCTAACAAATAGTTCAGTGCGTTTGCACATGTCAGTGACAATAATGCGGGAGCCATCAATTTTGGTAAATTTGGTTGAGTGTTCAATAACCCTTTCCATTTGTACTAGCTACAATTTCGTTGGAGGTCATAATGCGTGACGTGACTTTAACTTCCACTCGCTGACAGAATACCAGAGCAAAACTACCAAAAGTATTGATGCATATTACACCAACGTTTATTTGCATACAAATTCCATTGCATTTATAGCAATCAACTGTGAAGTCGACCACCAGACTGCTGCATAATTGAATTCGACATACTGGTTTATTGTCAATTGAGTTGCGACACTTTGACGTTACAGTCCACTCAGCAAAAAGAAACGCACCGAATTTCCTTGAGGCGGTAAGTGCATTAAATGGCGTTCAGAGTTCTGGAGAGATATATTCCGGAAACTCCTAAAATTCTCGACGGGTTGCCACCAGATGCAGCAAACAAAAGTAGTTAGAGAATATTAATAATAATTTCTATTTCACATACGCGGCTAAGTTTAAAAACCATGCCACTACTACATCCAAGACCAGAATTCCCAAGCATACAGAAAAGCAAACCGTAAATTGAAAGACGAGATTACGCCGCATACTCAACGAAAGAAAGTTCAAAAGATATCAGGTGAAAGGCATTAACGGAAAGCATGATTTCCAGAAAAATAAGGACAAACAGCAGGTACAAATATTTGTTGAATGGTACTGCTTTGAATAATTTAACAGCACAGGCGAAATCTGGGTGAATATGTGCTTGTGTCAGCTACGGAGTTGTGAGACGTAGAGCTGGAGATATGCTGAAGAGTTTATCGTATGTCAATGAAGACCGCATCAAGGCCATTATAGCCACACTTTTCCAAGTTGGAAAGCAGCATTTTGGAATGTGCGCCATGCAGTTGTCCTAATAATTTAACTTTGACCCACTTTCCTAAATGAACTCATTTCGCGACAGATGAATACTTAAGTTTGAGACCATATACAGGCTGAAAAGTTTTGTCGAATGAAAACGGTTAAATATGCTCTTGATTAAATTTGCGACTGCACTTATCAAACACAATTTTCAAACAGTGAATTCGGTAAAAATACAGGAGGAAATCAATCAGTCTTCGCGGTATGTTCAACGTTTGCGCTACATTTTAGTGTGATTCGTTATATGTAATCTATCTTTGTTGCAAACCTCGCACAAGTGTTACCCTAGTTCCACACCTGTAACCATCAACTCTTTCATCAGTTAGTTATCGTTAATCACACAAAAAGCCACTAACTCAGTCACCTGTCAACCTGATAACTGGTAGAACACATCGGTTTGTTACAACAAGCAACACACCTCCCACAGAATGTGGCAGTGAGTCACACAGCTCAACAGTACGCCATAAGCGCCGAACTGCCTTGTCACCACCATCTAACGCGGCTGAAACTGAGAGCAGAAGTATGCTGACAGCTGGTAGTAGCATCGCCCCTACAAGCCCAACACCTGGTTCTGACATAGATCCCTTAACTACACCTTATGTACGTGTCACCAAACTTCAGATACCAAGTCCAGCTTCAACGCTTACTTCAGAAACAGAGCGATGAGAGCTGTCCATAGAAGAGCTGAAAATTGAGATGCGGGAAATAAGGTGTAGTAAGACTACGAATGCAGGATGTTCAGAAAATATGGCCAGTATGTCCGAACTATCAGCACAGATTATATAATTATAAAATCACAGTTCTGTGAACTCACACCTCTGAGCACCCTGACCAGAACCATAAACCCCAACGAACTTGACACAGAATCGGTAACCAAGGTAGACAACCTGATAAACTTCATCACAACAGAGGTTATCAACAGACTCGATGCAAAACTAAGTGTGATAGTCTTCGAAATACCGGATGATGAGGGGTTAAATAAGGTCGAGGCTTGTTACTTAGGTCGGAGAAATTAGGTAGCTTTCAAAGATGATATGAGGGCTGGCAGTAGTTAGGTTGGTCTAGTTTAGTGATAGTTTCGATTTGGAGTAATGTGAGTTAAAGGATTGTATGACGATTAGGATACCTAGAAGAATACATGTAAAGAATGCTGTATCACTGATCTATTAGGACTCCAATCCAAACCTAACATGCGTTTTTATCACACATCAGAGGGAGGCATCCTGCGTAACAGTTGTATGCCTATTATTCAAGATTCCCATAAACGAATCCATATCGCGAAAGGTTGATTAATCAATACTGTCTCCGCAGTTTAAATTGTTGGTTTGTAAAACGAGCTGTGCAGACAGAGCCATATAAATGTCAAATTGTAAAGCCAATGTAAAGCAGGAAGGCCGAATTTCGTTTTGTTTTTCTATGTGCGATTGTAGTCAATAGATCATTAATCGATATTCAGGCGAGTACTACATCCACTAGTGACCGAAAACTATTTCAGGCAGAAAACGTTATTCTTAGAAAGCACAAGGTGAAATAAAAGCATAGGTAGTT